TGACCGGGTAGCAGCTTTCTGAGACTAAATCTTTACTCAAACAGCCAGCCTCATTTTTCTCCTGCCTTCCAGTCACAAGGAAGGATTATTAGTAAATGGGAGAGGTGCTAATGACAGGCTAGCACCCAGCTGAGACTTTCTCTTTGGAATTGTAAGCAGGAATTCAGAAGAAACCTTGAAGATCATTCTCTCCTTTGGCTAGTATCCCTGTAGACCCTACATGAATCACCTATTCAGCCCAGTGGGTTTTTAGAGGAACAGGAGAGGATGGGTGGGCGGGGTGGTGGTGGTTCTGGATGCACTACCCTCCCCAGGTTCCCCAGGTGGACCTGTCTCCCTGTACCACCCCCTCTTTGACTAAGTCACTACATTTGAGAAAGGAGGAGGCTTCTGGGAAATGCCTTTTGTTCCTTCTCTTCTGTTTACCTGGTTACCTTGGCATCTAGCTTATGGTCAATAAAGCTTCCTTTAGAGACCAAAGAGGTAAAAACAAACCAAATCTGCTTGCTCTGAAATCAGGTTATTTATAGGGAAAGGACTGGACTCCCAAACCAGCAAGGATTTAAGCAAAAATTTGAATGAATTCTGACAACATAATCCAGAGTTTAGGATTTGCCTTCAGGCTACGTTTTTGTTTTGTTTTTTCTGTCAACTCCACTAAGGATAGAGAATGGAGGAAAGGAAGGGATGTTTCTCTTCTTCTTCACCGAACTCCCTTTGCAGTGAACATAAAATGGAAATAAGAACTTGCTCTCTTCTTCTGTCCCTTTCTTTCCTCACATCCTCCACTCCCCTTGTATATTTCTGGAGGATCGCTGATGTATCAGGCCTAATCCACAAACCAAATCTCTACTGTAATTTACTTAATACTTTTAATTCTTTGACTTTCTGGCCTCATCCAATAACCATGGAATACATTCAGTCAGAGATTTGATAATCTAGTTGTCTATTTCTCCCCTAACATGTAATAAAACAAATGAATCAAACTTATAATACATAATTGGTTCCTGAACATCTACCTAAACTCATGCTTGGTGGAACTTTCAAGGTCTGTTAGGACTTGCCAGGGATAGGTCATCACACAGGGCCTCTGTGAGCACTTGCTGGCTGACCACAGTGCTACATGCCTACATCCTTTAGGCTAATGCTTTTCAAACTGTTGCTCCTGAAGAGTTTGTTCACAGATTCCTGAGCCCCATCCTCAGAGATTCTGAATCAGCAGGTTTAGAGTGAGGTCTGAGAGTCTGTATTTGTAACACAGTGATGTCCATGCTATGGGTCTGAAGACTATAATTCTAACAGGCCTTAGACTGGTGGTAGTGATGTGCCTTCGAGTTGGTTCTGACTCATAGCGACCCTGTATAAGGTTTCTGAGGCTATAAATCTTTATGGGAGCAGAAAACCTCATCTTTCTCCTGCGGAACAGCTGGTAGTTTCAAACTGCTGACCTTGAGGCTAGCACTTCAACTCATAACCCCTATGCTACCAGAACTCCTTAGCCTTAGACTACTGGGCATCAAAATCAGGTGAATGTGCTTGTGAAAACGTAGATTCCTGCACACTGTATCTCAAACATTCCAATTGCTTGGGGCTCCAGTGGGTCCCAGATCTTTATTTACCACCTCTGGAGATCACATTTTGAGAAACAGTGCCTGGATCATTACCAGCACTTGTATCTCAGAGGAGAGGTGAGATGACTTGGAACCCAGAGGAAAGGTATGAAGAGGTGAGACGACCTGCAAGGTCACTGTGCACTTTAAAGACTTCTCCATGTTGCTTGGACCCTAAACCTTGGAAAACCCTGGACTCCTCTTTCCCACCCCACATTGTCTTTTAGCAAATCCTTGTGACTGTTCCTTCAAAATCTACTCAGAGCTTCTTTAAACGACTCTAGCAAACAAGCAAACAGACTTGTGATTAAGAGGGTAGATACAAGATGGAATGCTGATAATTTTTAAATTGAGATTTCATTACGTTTCTTACAATTTTATACGTACTTGACTTTCCATAGAAAAAAAATTTGATTTTTAATTCTTTGATCCAACAAATCCATTTCTGGGATTTTACCTTAATGAACATTTTAAATACAGAAAGACCCTCACCAAAAAAAAAAAAATAATAATAATTCCCAATAGTTAAAAAGTCGGAACACTCTAAATTGTAACAATATAAACTGGACAGAGAAGATTCTAGGACATTCCTTAACAGAATGTTATATCCTTAAAAATGTTTTATTTTTAAAGTTAGCTATGCACTAACATGAAAAATACGACAGACTACTAAGTAGAAAAATGGGATCTTATATTGTATTTGATTCATGATTAAAATGATGCAGAGACTTAAAAATCTGAAGTTTAAAAAAAATCTGATAAATCATCCAGAATCTTGTCTGCATTCCTGCTGGCTCCCTGCTTTGCCCCTCTCTCTCTCTCCTCTTCTCCACATGGAAACCAGAGTCCTTTGAAAATGTCAATCAGATCTGGACCCTCCTAAGATCGGAATCTCCGAAAACTTCCCATCTCTCTCTAAGGCTACACCAGCTGTAGGACTGGCCTCTCAGCTCACCCTGATTTGCTGCTCTGTTCCTGGCTGTGCCCCTGCCACTGTTCCCACACCCTCTGCCTCAGAGCCTTTGCACTAGTGTCCTCTACCCCAGACACTGAGGTGGGGTGGGGGAAGAGTGCAAGGCCCTGCCTGAACACCTTATGCAAAACAGCACCACCCTCACCACCAAATCCTTTTTCTTCATAGCATTTATCATCACCTCCCACAGTACGGATTTTTATGTCTTCCACCTACTAAAACGCCAGTTCCTTGAGAGCAGACCATCTCTCTTGTTCTCTGAGACACCCATCGGACCTAGCCCAGAGCTTGGCACATAGGTGGTCAATACATACATGTTGAACTAAATAATGGTAAGCTTCATGTGCATTTCGCTTCTTGAGGGACCTACCTGTCCCTGAGACCTCCTGGTAGTGGGAACTTGAGTGGCCAGTCCTTTTTCCCCCGAGGCCTCCCTGAGGGTACGGCCACTAAGAAGCCCGGCTTTAGGAGGTCAAACTCTGGTCTTGGGCAAGAGACGTGGATCTCGAAGTATTAATTGTAGAATCTCTGAGTATTAATGTGTAGAAAGCGAAGGATACTCAACAGATCCTATTTCCCAGGGCTCGGGTGGGGACTAAGCAAGATCATATACCTCAAAGCATGTAGCCAGCACAGTGCCTGGTACAGAGTCAGTATGCACCAGGAGGCAGTCAAATTCATAAACAGCCTTTGTTTCTTTCAAGTTTACAACGCCTTTTATGGATAGCCTTTATCTGAGTTAAGCCTTTCAACAGCTCTGTCAGTTTTATCACCATTTTATAAGTGAGGAAACTGGGTCGGAGAAGGGTAAAGTACATGCCCACAAGCCACAACTGAAGCTACCTTGAAATCCGTGCCCTCTCCTCCAGAAACACTGCTGATGCTAATCAAGAGGATGTGGACTGCCCTCCGAGCCCCACCCTCTACAGCCTGGGCCTCTTGTGAGGCTGCCAGTGGCAGATGGAGCTGACCAGTGAGTCCACTCTCCGCCACCCCTTGGAAGCAAAGATGTACTGACTCCTGTGTCCAGGGCTGCTTCTCCCAATGGGGCTTGGGAGCAGTCTGGACAGGAACACCAGCTCTCAGAGGCCACCCAGGATGGCACACACTTCACTCTTTGCCCAAGAAGAAAATAACTAAAGCGCTTTCTTGCAGTTTCTCCCACCCAGAGTTGGGTAGTAAATGCCACCTGTGGTGTCTGCATCCCCCCATTCACCCTATAATCTCTGACCTCTGATCCAGTCTACATTGGAGCTATGGGTCTGGCTCACTGTTGGAGCCACCTCTGCCATTCCAGGATTGAAGGTCAAGTGAGGAAGGTTTTAAGAAGGAATGCAGATTTGGACATTTCAAACCACAGAGTTGAAAACGCACACTCTCCAGTGTCATGGATTATTCAAACGGCATCTGAGACAAGTTTACAACTTGTGATATCTTGAGCCTCATGAGATCGGTGGAGAGATTACATTGAATGGGAAGGGGCAAAACTGTATCCAGACTGGGAATTCAGATGGCTCCTGGGTACGTTCTATGTGGGCAGAAACTCAGAAGACGCTCCCTTGTGAGAACACCATCTGAGGACTTCTGTTGCAGTAGGGGAACAGGTTTTGAATACCAACCTAATGGCTCAACTCTACCAACCAGATTCCTTGGGCCAGGAGATCAAAAAGGGAGTAGGCAATCTGCAGAAACAGCCCACGAGGCCAGCAAGTCCTGGCTCCCAATGATGCATTCTGAGCCCCCAGTGGTGCAGGCCACCAACCACCCAGACTGCCTGTTGGAATGCCATGATGGCTGGACATGAGGTCACGCTCCTTGTCAGATGTGTTGTATAAGCAGCACTTGGCTGTCTGGAGCACTGCACAGTACCAGGGTGGCTGAAGTACGTTTGCATAGTGCTTACAATGGAGGAGGGTCTTCAGGCCCCAAATCCCAGAAATAGCCTGGGAAAAGGGGGATGACAATAGCTCTGGTCAGGCAGTGGCGGTCAGGTCTACAAGCCACTTTGGGGTCACCTGGAAGAGTGGTCAGCACATCATCCCTAGCCTCATCCACATCCAGTGAAGGTCACTTTAGGAACCTACACTTAGTGGACCTCACTGATTTTTGAAAATGAGGGAGTGAGTGTTCTAGAGTAGTCATTGTCTTACATGAAAACATTAAAAATCTCTCTGAAGAGAATTCGTCATCTCAGGATGCTCAGTGCAGGGCAGACCGAAAGACAGAGTTAGACTGCTCTGCTGATGTGAGGATTTCCAGAAAAACAGCAGAAGCACATGGGAGGAGGAGCAGCTCCAGCCCCTAGCAGCTTAGAAGGCCTGTGCCCTGGGAGGTGGGCCACTTCCATCTCCAGGAAGTCCCTGGTATCTTTCTGTGGCCAGCAGGCAAGCAGAAGGGCCCAGCTCAGATTGGTGATCTGCTCCAGTCCAGGTCAAAACTCATCCCGCAGCTGAGGGGGCCTGTCCATGCCGAAGAAAGAGGATGACCTCCCCTGGAGGTCCCGTTCCCGCTTCACGAAGGCGGTAAAGGAGGAGACACAGTTGCCAATGAAGTGGTCGGCTTGACCGAGGATGTACAGGTCAATCTGGGCCACCTCAGGCTTCAGGCTCACCACCTTCACCTGTATGAGGAAGGGCAGAGCAGATCAGCTATGATGGCTACAGGCCACAGCGATCAGCTTATGGCTCAGCCACCCCAACCTTCTTCCCACAAAGAGGAGCTGAGAGGGTGAAGGTGTAGAATCAGGTATCTGAGAGGTATTGCCCAGCCGCTACCTGTGCACACATGGAACACCTTGCCCTAAGCACCCATTCCTCACCTCCAGCCTCAGCTCCAAATGTGTCTTTCACTCACATCTCTGAGCCTTCACTTGTGTTGATCCCAAACTCACATGCCATCCATTTCCATACCCATTATAATCCGGATCACACTCACAGGGCTCAAGGGCTACCTTTGTCAGAAAGCCTTTGTCTAACAGGCATTCCCCCCACCCTATCAGCCAACAGTGCCCCTGCTTATCCAGTTCTGCAGTTTGGCTGCCTCCTTCCTCTGCCATGCACCCTACTTCCAAGACAAAATCCTATATGCTCGATCCCAAGATACTCCCCAGAGGAGTAGTTACCTGGCATTCTCAGCACCAGCCTAGTGTCATGGAAGAACATGGGTGAGAACAGCTACATGGGAACGCAAAATAGAAAACTAGAAATGGCTTACAGCGTCACAAAAGCATCAACTCTATAAACAACTCTATGTATGTATCTGTATCAAACAAACAAAAAAAACTCCCTGGGACTCTCCAATGCTTCACTTTAGTACAGAGGTGGGCAGAGCTGGGGTTGACAGATCTTACTGTCATAGAGAGATTTCTGATTTAATGAAAACCCTCATCATGTCATTTAGATTGTAGCAAAGAATTACTACTAGTTCCAGCATGGCCAAAATCCCCCAAACAATTCCACCCACACCCTGAAATTTACCCACTCTGTGTCATACCTACTATAATTAGCTCTGAAACCTCTTGGGTAAATTCTATTCTTTCTTGGGGCTTTGGTTTCCTCAGCTGTAAAACGCAAGTGTTGGCTTACAAGACTCCTCATGTTCTCGTCCAGCCCTGGTGTTCTGTCTATGAAATGTGTGAGTGTGAGAACACAATGCGTGGAGACTCAGCACTTCTATAAACTGGGACAAGACAAAGAAGTGGAGCCCCTCGATGTGAAGCTGAGGGCAGCTAGTGCTGGAAAGCAGACGGTGGCTTTATAAGGTCTCTCTCTGTGCATTTAGGGCCTTCATTCCTTCCACCAAGTCTACTACTCATGGATGCTTATTACTATGCCAGTCAATTGATCCTCACTCACGTATTACTTCCTCTTCACTGATCCGATAAGCATTTGTCAAGTCCTGTTGTGTATGTACCTTAAGGTATGTACTGGACTGCTAACTGAAAGATCGGTGGCTCAAATCCATCAGCTGCTTCTTGGAAACCCTATGCAGGGTAGTTATGAATCAGACAGAGCTGACTTGATGGCACTTAACAAGAAGAAGCACATTCTACTATTTATTCATATGCATACTGAATACACGTTATTTACAGATTGCCTGAGCCTTTGCTAAGCACGAAAGAGCCTTGCCTTTATTTTTCAATCACCTACTTCTTTTACCGAAGATAGCTAACTTTATTAAATAGTTACTTTGTATCAGGAACTGTTCTAACTGCTTCCTACCTGGTCTCTGTAACCACACTGAGATAGGTACAATTCTCAGTCCCATTTTATAGGTGAAGTAACAGCACAGAGAGGTAAAGTAATCCGTGCAAGGTTGCACAGTGAATACAGTCCAAGTTCTGTGGCTTCACAGGCCACGTTCACACAGAGCACCCCTCTGCTATACTGGATTTCTACCAAGGGCTCAACCTCTATGTCCTTCTTCAGCTAACAGTACTGAACACTCACACTGTCCTAGGCACTGGTGATGGTTGGGTGGGTGTGTGCCTCCAAGAGGTCAGTCGGCTAGATGCCAGGGGATACAACAGTGATTCAGTCTTGCATCTCGCTTGAGAGCTCTGGGGGACACATTAACTCAACGAGTGGAGGGAGAAGTACAGAGCTCTGCAGGAGAAGAGGTTGAGCTGTGGTTTGAAAGAAGGATAAGAATTGGAGAGGAAAGTCATCCAAGCAGTGGAAATGGCCCAGGCAAAAGCCTGGAGGTGGGATAACGTGAAGCCCATAGTGGAAGCAGTGGGGCCATCCTGGCGCCTTACTGGATCCCTTTCCTGCAGCAAACCCTCCTGGCATTCCTGCCTTGGCACACACCTTCCCTTTGAAGAGCTGTTGGAGCTCAGGTATGTAGCTCTGAGAATCCGTGGCGATGTAGACCGACTGGGCATTCAGTGCCCTCACCCAGAGCTTCACGGCCCGCTGGATTTCCTTCAGGTCAGGAAGGCACATCGTCATGGTGAGCGGTGCGGCCGTGCTACGGCTGTAACCCACACACTGTGGTGAGGCCATGAAGTGGGAGCCTGCAGTCCCATCCTTCAGCATGGTGCAGGCATTCTTCTATAGGGGGACAGAGATAGAGAATTCAAGACTAGCAATTGCCCCCTGGGTCCCAGGAGCAAGAACTGGGAAGTGGAAATAGGTAGGCTACTCAGGAAGAGTGCAACTTGATTTTTTTTTTTTAATAAGTATTGAGGAAGTACATCAAGACAGTTGTTGTTAAGTGCCTTTGAGTCAATTCCCACTCACAGGAGCAACTGGTAGGTTTGAACTACTGACCCTGTGGTTCAAACCGACCTTGTGGTTGAGTGCTTATCCTACAGTACCATCAGGACTCAAGATAGTAACAGTGGTTATTTCTGCACGGTGGAATAGTTTTATTTTTTTCTTTAAATTTTATTTGGTTGTTATTGAGAATATACATAGAAAACCATACACCAGTTCAACACTCTCTCCACGTGCAGTTGAGTGACACTGATTACATTCTTTGAGTTGTGCAAGCGTTCTCACCCTCCTTTTCAGTGTTCCTTGCCCATTACCATAAAGTTACTATCTAATCTTTCAAATTTCTATTGTCAGTCTGGTCCCATGTAGACAGTTTCTAGAAGAGCATAGTGTAGATCTTTTTTGCTAGTTAAGCTAAATTATTGCTTGATTTTAAAAAGACTTCAGGGGATATTCTTGACTTAAGGTCTAAAGATTCTCACAGGGCAATCGTTTCAGGGATTCATCCATCTATCCTCCATGGTTCCAGAAAGTCTGTAGTCCATGAGAATTTGAAAATCTGTCCTATATTTTCCCCCTTTGGGTCAGGATTCTTTTATATAATCTTTGACCAAATGTGCAATAATGCCATGCAGGCACCATCCAGTTCTGGTCTCAGAACAAAGAATGCAGGTGTTTATAGAGGCAATTAGCCACACATTCCATATTTTCCTCTTATTCCTAACTCCTCTACTGTTCCAGGTAAATAGAGACCAACTGTTATGCCTTGGATAGCTGATTGCAAGCTTTTAAGACCCCGAGCACTAGGCAAGGAACTAGGAGGTAGAATAGAAGCAGTGAACACATTATTAGATCAATTAACTGGTATGTTCCATGAACCATACACGTTATTAGACCAATTAACTGGTATGTTCCATGAACCATGACCCTAAACCTCCAAAACAACAAACCAAACCCCAGGAGCTGTTTGGCTGTACATAAACAGCCTCAGCAGCTACATTGTTTTGTCATTGTAAATATATTGTATAACTTCTGTCAATTCAATTTTTTTACAAGTGTACAACATATCAAAAACAACTAAATAATCAATCAGCAGTGTGACCCTACCCTTAATGTAATTTTTCCACCACCATTAACCCCTCTCTTGCCCAACTCCTGGTAACCACTAGTAATAAACTTTGGTCTCTATATTCATTTATCTTTTTATGTGAGGTCATACAATATTTGTCCTTTTGTGATTGACTTATTTCGTTCAGCAGAATGTCTTCAAGTTCCATTCATACTGGAAGACATTTTAAGTAACATGTATCAAGACTTAATTTCTCCTACTAGCTGAGTAGCAGTCCACTGTATGTACCACATTTTGTTTATCCACTCATCTGTTGATGGACATTTAGGTTGTGTCCACCTTTTGGCTACTGTGCATGGTAATATAATGATCATGGGTGTACAGTCTCTCTTTGAGTCTCTGCTTCCAAGTCTTTGGGGCATATACCTAGGAGTAGATATGCTGGGTCATATGGTAGTTGTATTTTAGTTTTTTAAGGAACTGCCACACTGTTTTCCAACAGCTGTACCATTCTGCATTCCCATCAACAACAGGTTGTTGTTGTTGTTGTGCGCCGTGGAGTCAGTTCTGACTCATAGAGACCCTGTACAGGGTTTCCGAGGCTGTAAATCTTTATGGGAGCAGAAAGCCTCATCTTTCTCCCACGGAACAGCTGGTAGTTTTGAACTGCTGACCCTGAGATTGTTGCTGTTGATGTTAAGTGCCTTCGAGTCGCTTCCGACCCATAGCGACCCTGTATAGGGTTTCCAAGGGTGTAAATCCTTATGGGAGTAGAAAGCCTCATCTTTCTCCCGCGGAGCAGCTGGTAGTTTCGAACCGCTGACCTTAAGGTTCGCAGCCCGATTCGTAACCACTACGCTACCAGAGCTCCTTACCAGCAGCAGGTAGGAATCCCAATTTCCCTGCATCTGCTAACATTTGTTATTATTATTTTTTATTTTAGCCATCCTCATGGGAGTGTACTGGTATCTCTTTGTGGTTTTGATTTGTATCTTTCTAATGGCTAATACTGGAGTCCTGGTATGGTGCTGTGGGCTAATGCGTTAGACTGAAAAGTCATTTGAACTGCAAGGTCGGTGGTTCAAGCTCACCAGCTGCTCCTTGGAAACCCTATTATACAGGGTCGCTATGGGTTGAAATAGACTCCACGGCACTTAACAGCAATGGCTAATACTGTTGAGCATCTTTTCATGTGTTTGGTGGCCATTTGAATGTCTTCTTTGGTGAAATGTCTACTCAGGTCCTGTTCATTTTATGACTGGGTTATTCATCTTTTTGTTGTTAAGTCATCAAAGCTTTATACATATATTGATTGTCAGCTTCTTGTCAGATACATGGTTTTTGAAAATAGGATTATTGTTTTTTATAAAAGTTCTTTTTCTTAGGCATACTGCATTATCTGCGACTGCCAGTAGAATTCTTAACAGTGGTGGTTATAATGGGCAGCCTTATCTGATCCCTGACTTCAGTGGGAAGGCTTCTGATAGCTCCCCATGAAGTATGATGTTTGCTGTGGGTTTCAGAGAGATAACTTTTATCAAGTTAAGGTGGGTCCCTTTACTCCTGGTTGGTTACAAGTTGGTATCATAAATGGGTGTTGACTTTTATCAAATACTTTCTTGGCCTTTATTGAAATGGTCATATGATTTTTCTTCTTTGGGCGCTATTGGTAAATTTCATTATATTCTTGAGATAAATTTTGCTTATTTATGTTATCTGGTAGCGTAGTGGTTACGAATTGGGCTGAGAACCTAAAGGTCAGCGGTTCGAAACTACCAGCTGCTCCGCGGGAGAAAGATCAGGCTTTCTACTCCTGTAAAGATTTACACCCTCGGAAACCCTGTACAGCGTCGCTATCGGTCGAAACCGAGTCAACGGCACTTAACAACAACAACAACAATATTGTTTTTAACACACTACTGGATTTTACATGTTGATATTTTACTTTTAGGCTCTATGCATCTATGCTTATTAGTGATAATTTTCTGATTTGACTTTATCTGAGTTTGGTGTTAGTGTTAAGCTTCCTTTCTGTTTAAAAAAAAAAAAAAAGGGTAGCAGTCTCTTTGTATTTTCTAAGAAAGTACAGATGGGAATTCTCTTTTCCTGGAGGTTTGGTGGAAAGCACCCTGGGCCTGGTTTTCTTGGTAAAAGTGGGGCAGGGAGAGAGTTTGGTGAATAAATGTGTGATTGCCACTTCAATTGACTCTAAGTGTATGTAATCTAATTTCTGTACTTTACAGAATTTTGCAACAATGAGCGTTTCTAACATACTCACATAACACACACACACCCCTTTCTTTCTATAAATTAACGAGATTCCCTATATTAGTCCTGCCTATTTTTACAAGGAGGATAATCTGATGAGGCACCTCCACAGTGAAGCAGCCTCCAAATTCTGGGAGGATGACATCTTCATTTCTTGGGAGCCCCACCCAATCTCCAATAGCTTGTTTTTCAACAAGGAATCTGTGGGTTCAACACTGAGCTAGGGCAGAGGATTTCGGGACTGTGGCTCTCTCCCTGTCTGATCTGGGCTCTAAATCCAACCTTCAGTTATCTTTCTATAAAATGAGGATAAAATGACAACAGTTAAAATAAAAGCTGGCAAGCACACACTGTGGGGTCACCTGCCTGGCACGTGCTGCAGTGGGATCATAGGACACAATCCCATGGGCTTGACTGAGTCCGAGCACTCTGCCCTGGTTGGGACCTGGTGCAATGAGTTTAGTTTCCAATTCCCTCTGGCCTGGGCCCTGCTCAAGGATAGATCACAGTTGGCCCCTGATCCCGGGAGGGGAAGTTACCCAGTCGGAGCCAATGCGCAGATGAATGCCCACAAAGGGTCGGATGAGGTGGGTGTGAATCTGGGCCTGTCCCTTCGTCACCATCTCGTCTGACCACACCATATACTTCTGGAGTGGCCTATGCTCTTCCAGGACAGGGAACTGGGCCGGGGCCCCAGGCAGAGCGAGCACCGGATGCTCCTTTGAGGAAAATCTAGACATGAAATGGAGTTAAGGAGAAATCAGACAGAGAACACACAGAGAGCATGGGTGTTTCCCCCTCCCCCCTCAGGAAAAAAAAACGGCATTGCACCATGCCCCTGAGACCCTGCAGAGGGGCCCCTGTAACGCGCAAGAAGCATGGGAGGTTGTGAAATCCCAACGGGCTGATAAGAAACCTTGGTGGCTGCAGGCGACAGGCACAATATGCTATCCTGTCCCGCCAGCCGCACGCAATTTACAACTCTCTTTGCTTGTTTAACAATTAAAAATTTACAGTAGAGCATTCCAACCTTTTGTATGTCATGCTGGCTTCCAATCTGTGGCCTGGTAATTCACTCCAGGGTGGGGTGTCTGGACAAGTCTTTGCCCTTTTACCCACACGGCGGGTTTGGGATGTGTAACTGCTTACAGAGGGCAATGGACGGGGAACCCTCATGAGGAATATTCATACTGGATTGTATCACCCATTCCACATGCAGCTCATAGTTTCTGACTGCTGACTATATGCTGGGACCCAGGGGAGAGTGAGCCAGACCTGGGCCCTGCCCTCACTGAGGTCTGCAGACTCCATATGACACTTGGCGTAGGGACTCTCCCACACCTTCTGTACACCCTGCACTTTGGTGATTATTTCACGCCTGTCTTTCCTGATGGGCTTGGGTTTCTGAAGGCAGTGGCACTGGTGTGTCTAGAACAGTGCCTGGCACCTGGATGGGCAAATATATATATTTGTTGACTGACTGAGGAGCACACCTGTATTCCCTAAAGTCTACCGATGCTATGCCCCAGTAACACAAAACAATGTGCTGCTCCATGAACTTACTTACAATACACTTTCAAACTCTAAGTCTCTGCAGACTTTTTCCCTTGACCTAGCATGCCTCCCTGCTGCCAGGCAAAATTATTTTCTCACAATTATGAAATATGGGCAGCCACTCTGGGAAAAGTTTGCCAGTTTCTTTATAAAAATGAAACCTGTGCTTATAATCTGTCCTAGCAGTTGCACTCTTGGGCACTTATTACCCCAGAGGATTAACAAGTTAGACTCCAACAAAAAAATCCTGTGTGCGGAAGCTTAGAGTAGCTTTCTGTGTAATAGTCCAAAACTGGAAATGGCCGAGATGTCTTTCAACAAGCGCTAAACTGTGGTACATCCATGGAATACTACTTAGCAAAAAAAAAAAAGGACTGAAATATTGATGCACACAACAAGCTGGAAGGGTGGCAAGGGCACGACACTGAATGAAAAGAGTCAATTTCCCAAAGGTTACTTACATGTGACACGAGTCCAGTCATAACAGAAATGAAGAACAGTTGTGGTTGCCAGGGTTTAGGGGTGCGGAAGGCGCTATGTAGGTAGATGATACCAGATTACTTGTGATGACAGAACTGGTCAGTATCTTGACTGTGGCGAATACACATATCGGTCGATACATGTGATCTTATAAGCTCAAACATACACAAACAAATGAGTACAAGTAAAACTGGTAAACTGTATCCATGTTCATATTTGGGTTGGGATACTGTGCTGTAGTTGACAAGAGTGCCACCATGGGGGGAAACTGAGTGAAAGGCACCTAGGATCTCTCTGTATTATTTCTGACATCAAGAACATGGGTGACAAGGAAGGCAATATGCAAGAGGGAGGCTGGCAGAGGAAAGATGAAGGTTGCGGAAGACACAGGGAGGAATTCCTGCAAGAGTTAATGTGAACAGAGGCCAATTCTGTTAACTAAAAGGAGCTCTGGTAGCGTAGTGGTTACGAATCAGGCTGCGAACCTTAAGGTCAGCAGTTCGAAACTACCAGCTGTTCCGCGGGAGAAAGATGAGGCTTTCTGCTCCTGTAAAGATTTACAGCCTCAGAAACCCTGTACAGGGTCACTATGAGTCAGAATCAACTCCATGGCACATAACCACTACCACCACTGTTAACTGATGGCACATGGAGGTTATTGTAATCATTGTAATAAAAGAAGTACATGATTTGTTGAATGTAAAATGGAGTGAAACTCAATTCACAATAAAGTGTTAAAATGAAGGAGGCCTGGTGGTGCAGTGGGTTAGGCATTGAGCTGCTAACAGCAAGACTGGCGGTTCAAACCCACCACTTGCTCTGCAGGAGACGGATGAGGCTGTCTGCTCCTGTAAAGATTTACAGTCTTGGAAACTAAGAGGCAGTTTTATTCTGCTCTGTAGGATCACTGTGCTCTGGAAAAGACTCGATGACAGTGGGATTTTGAGAGATTTGGTTTTTAACAATTATGTGGACCATGTAACCATGTCAGTGTCTCTGTAAAATTTCCATTTTGGATGAAGAAACCACAAGTGATTGAGTGATTCCCCTTCTGATGGACAGTAAGGTTACTGCGGCCTTTCCCACAGACACCAGAGCTGCAGTGGACATGCACTTGATCTTCACGCTCAACCCAGACATCTTGTTCAGCAAAAACTCCTTCTAAGCCTCTAAGACCAGTTGTCACCACCACTCAGTCCCACTTCTCCTTTGTCACCCTCTATACACTGATGTACTCAGCAACCACCTTCCCTGCTTGACTGTCGGCACCATGGAGTTGGAACCTAGTGGTCCTGTTCAGAGTTATTCACACACACACTGATGCAGAGCCTGTGCCAAGGAAATGACAAGCACAAGCTCACCCTAACTGTCTGCCTATACACACACGCATGTGCGGTCCTTAGTGAGCCTTAGTAGGGGACAGGCCATTTCCCAATTACTTGATGTGTACTGACTCATTTGAATCTCACAAGAGCTCAGTGAGATAAGCATTACTGTTACTTTCTGATAGATGAGGGAACCAAGGTAAGAAACATGCCCAAAGGCACACAGCTAGGAATTGAGGGAGCTGGGATTTGAATCTAGGCAGTCTGCTCAAGAACCTACATCCTTAACCACTGCACCTCAGTTCCATCTATTACCCCAACTCCAGTCAATGAGCACCTCAAAAGCTGGGAGAACAATACTGCATGGATGGGCTCAGATATCTGCTGCCTTCACTCCATGAGAATGACTCCATATAATGATCCACACACAGGCTTCCTTCTAACAGTTCACACGACATAAATGTCTGTTGAATTCATCTCCATCAGGGTACTTACAGACACAGAACCAGCAGAGCCTAAGGAGCCTCAAAAAATCACTTGCTGCTCCTTGGTTCTGACTCATCGTGACCCTGTACAGGGTTTCTGAGGAGTGGCGGGCAGGTTTGAACTGTGACCCTGTGGTTATCGGTTCTGTACTTAGCCTACTGCACCACACCATAACATCAAAAATCACTTTGTGGGCCCAATTTTCAGCCAAGCAGTAGAGAGGTTCATTTGGGGGGGGGGGGGAGGGTGGACAACAACACTAGTAAGGTATGCTTACCACAGAACAGTCAATCTTTTAAAAATCAAAAGGGCAACATTTACCTAGGGACAAGGTTGAGAAGGGATGGGAATGTGGGTTGAATGGAAATACAGGAACCACAGGGAAGAAGTGGGAAAGCTTGTTTCATGGAGGGGATTGTAAACATTGAGATGAAACAAAGTGCTGAGTTGTTGAATGTAAAACTGATGATCTTTTCTGTGAACCTTCAGTGAATTAATTCATAATCAAAAGTTAAAAAAAAAAAATCACTTAGTGGAGAAGAAATGCCCCTCCTCCCAGAACCTGACTTTCTGCTGGGTACATGGCATCCAGAATAAAGATATCTCTCAGTACTCCTCGTAGCTGGTTACAGCCCAAGTGCCTAAGTATTAGCTAATGGAACATAAACAGGAGGAGTATATGGGACTTTGGGGAAGATTCCTTACAAAGACAGCACTGTGTCCTTGTAGCTGCCCGGGGCAAGTCAGCCATGGTGATGGCTGAGGTGATGCTGAGGAGTAAAGCCAGTACTAGAATGCCAAGCAGAAAAGTGGGAGCCTGATTGCTGATGGCAGTGTGGCGCTGCCACGTACCCCTGGTCTATACATCCTAGCATTTCTTTGACTTTGTTACGCGTTAGTAAAGTCTGTTCTGACTCATAGCTACCCTGTATAAGGCTTCCAAGGAATGGCTGGTGGATTCAAACTGCCAACGTTGCAGTTCAAACCGACACTGCAGTCAAGTGCTTATCCTATAGCGCCATTAGAAAATGACAAATCACTATCTTGTTAATCTGCGGGTTTTCCTGCTACTTAAGCCTGGTATGCTTAGACCCATGCTCTATAAACTTTTTTTACCTGGAACCCTGCTATACAAGAAAGATATGGTGGGAGTGGGGATCTGAGCCTTTCCAACTTGCCTCCCTCCCCCCGCCCACCTCCTCCCAAGAAGGCCCAGAGACACCTTTCAAGAACTTGAAAGAACAGTCTGAAAACCACTGATCTTACTCACCTCCTTCATTTGAAAGTGGGAGCACTGAGGCCAGCGAGGGAAGCAATGTGCCTGATCACACATAAGCCCAAGAAGAGCTTCACTCTTCCCAATTCCATTCTGCCCTACATCCTGCCTCACAAGGACAACTGACTTCAGCCAGCCAAGTCTCCACTCATTTTCAAAAATGTTAAAAATACAAAAACGGTCCGCAGGCTTGTCAGATGATCTGATCCCTGCTCACCTCTCCAGTGTCATCACCGGGCTGGCAGATTCAAGATGGCTCCCGATTTTCCGAATCTCTCTCCATGCAGTGGGGTTTGTGTCCCCTTCCAATAGCATGTGGAAGAAGTGACACTGTTCTAGTTCCTGGCCCAGGCTGCACAGGACCGTCTTCCACCTCCTAGCTCTTGGAACACTCACTCTCTGGATGCACCCTCTCAGAGTCCAGCTGCCATGCTGGAAGGAACCCAAGCTACACAGAGGGGTCAGGTGTCCACACACCAAGCTCCCAGATAAGAGCCAGCATCACTTGCCAGCCATGTGCAAGCCCTCTTGGATATGCAGCTCAGCCAAGTTTGCAGATGACTCTAGCCCCAACTGACAGCTGATGTACCCACAGGAGCGCACAAGCAAGAACTGTCCAGCTGAGCACAGTCTACCCACAGGACTCTGAGAAATGAGAAAGTTTTGGAGTGGTTTACTACCACGACAGATACTACTACCATTCTCCCCCTTGACTGCTCCACAGCAGCCACACTGGACTCTTCTCTGCCCCTTGACCATATAAGCTTGTCTCCGTCACAAAGACCTGCCTTTCTCTCCAGTTCCTTGCCTGGCTGGTTCCCGCTCATCCTTCAGACTCAGTTCTGGTCTTAGTGTCACCAGTTACATATCACCTGTTTATATCCTTTACAACTCTCATGCTATACAGAACTATCTGTTTACTCACTGTCTCCTCCAATCGACTGTGAGCTTCATAAAGGCAGAGGCCTTACCCGCCTCATCCTTACCAGAATCACCAGCATCTAACCCAGTGCTAGACGCTTGGATGCTCCTTAAATATAGGAAGGGATGAAGACTGGCAACTACCCAAGTGGTCCTAACTCTCTCAAATAGTCTCCAGGGATTTTCCCTACTAGTCTTCCTTTCCCAAAAATTCAGCTGGAAGGTACACACTTCCTCAAGCCCTCATGCATTTCCCACAACTCCAGAGTTCAAACCAGACTACAGGACCACAAGTATTTCCGCAATGGTTCCCAAAGGATGTACTCATGCAGCACGGCCCTTCCCTTTGGACTAGGATTGTGTGCTTTTTCAGACTTTCTGGAACTTTGCTTTTGGAGCTACATCTAGAGCTGGTGGTATTTCTTCCTCTAGCATAGTGTCAACAGGGGCAAATACTGACAAAAGGGGCAAATCTCATCCTTTGAGGGCAGGTCTTCCTTCTAGCAATAGTATCAAGTCCTTCAGAGCTGAAGGGAAGAACCAAGCAGGCGATCAATGGTGAGCATCCTATTTGGGATCAAAACTGAGGAGGATTAGCATCCTAAGGATCCTCTGCAGCTCAGGACTAGCTCTAAAGGCAAGACACAAATAGGACTTAGCTGCTGCTAAAGGCACAGCTGTGCTCTCCACAGTGACTAAAAAGGGTGTTGTAGCATCAGATGGCCTGGGTTCAAATCCTGACTCCACTACCTCAAGATGTGAGACTGTGGGCAAGTGATTGCACCCCTCTTTGCTTCCTTTTCCTCATGTGTAAAACACAGAGGGCAATAACATCTGTTTCACAGCCTTGTGGGAGGAGTCAATGAGTTAATTCTGGTAAAGGCTTAGAATGCTATCTGGCACAGTCGGTTCCGACTCATAGCTACCCCGTGTACGGTTTCTGAGGAGTGGCTAGTGGGTTTAATCTGCCGACCTTGCAGTTAGCAGTCTAGTGACTATCCTACAGTGCCACATCAGGACTCCTGGCACAGACTGGGCACAAAACACACGTTTTCTTTTTCAGTTATCATTGAGTCCATTCCAACTCATGACAACCCGTTGTGTGTCAGAGTCGACTTTCCAAAGGAACTTATTTCCAAAAGTGAAAATAAATCTTAGCCCATAATGTTATTAAAGACTCCCATACAGATCACAGCTGCCTTCTCAACAGCGATATGACCTTGGGCACATTACTTAACTTCACTGAGCTTAGTTTCTTCCCCAGTAAGGTGGAAAATGGTAAGGGAATTGTAATCATTTTGATGAAACAAGTTGTATGATTTGTGAACGTAAAACTGATGATCTGCCCTGTAAACTTTCACTCAATCCACAAGAAAACTTAAAGGAAACAAACAAACAAAAAAGATGGAACTTGGTAATACCCAACTCATGAAATTCTTCAGACTTAAGTGAAAGAAAGCATGTGAACAGTACTGCTGACAGCTGACACTGGTTGGCCACTAACTACGTGCCATTCACATGTGTGTTACCATTGGTGCTCCTTCCTTTACACCAAAGAGGAGACTCAGGCTGGAAAGCTGGAGCAGCTTGTACAGGGCCACAGGCTAGACAGGCAGTGCCTGTCCAAGTCGGGAGCCTATACTTGTTTCTCTCCATCAGTCTATCTGGCTTACTAAATGCCACGGACTGTGCTACACACTTAGGAACTCATAAGCTCTGCACAGCTTCTGAGTGGGACTGGAACCCAAGTTTGACTTGTAAGCCCATTTGCTTTCCCATCATGAAGGTCAAGTGCATTGTGTTAGTTATCATCATTGGAGTCCTGGTGTGGTGCTGTAAGATCAGCACTAGACTGCTAACTGCAAGGTCGGCAGTTCAAACCCACCAGCCCCTCCTTAGCCATTCCATACAGGATCGGACCTGACTCAGTGGTACTCAACAGGAGCAGCAGCAACACGTTATCCTCACTAGAACCAGACCGCAGCTCCCTGAAACTTGAGGTTGGCTCCTCCTCTGTTTTACGCCACCTTTGGCCCTTGAATACTGTGTCTTATGTATGCCAGACGCCCTATAAATGTTTCATGGCCTATGCCTTTGCCCTGCTAACCTATTTTTTTTTTTTAAATAGGGCCTACTGGAGCACAATTAATAAGTCCATCCAGTAATTATCAGGATGACATCATTGCTCAGTCTGCACCTGAAGGTCTTCTTCTCTAGAAGCTGCTTCCAATTTTCACCTTGGGAAGAGGAAGGTAATGAGGGAGTTATTCTCATGCCAAGAGGAGGAAACTGAGACTCATGTGACCGCACAATGTTCTTTTTATGACATCCCTTATCAGCTAATAAACTCTTGCTCAACCTTGTGACAGGTCAACATCCCACCATGTCAGGTGCTGAGAGGGGAACAGGATCCCAAGTTCAGCAGACACACTGACTGCACCTTTGGTCTTGTACATCACGGTGGGGGAGGGGGAGAGGGACAGGATTGGTGCTAAATGTTCAAGCGCTGGTTAAGGACTGCTCCCAGGACTCCCCAACACTCAGCATGCAGCCCACTCCAAGTACCTCTGGAGCCACTGATCCTTGTAGGAAGCACTGAAGGAAATGCCCGCAAAAAGCTCTGACTTGTTGAAACTCACATGGAACTGGTCCCAGAATGGGCCGAAGGGGTTTCCTTCCTGCAGAGATAGAGAGAGTGGTAGAAGACTTGTTGATGGGGAGGGAAAGCTGTCTGGGGACCACACCAAGGAACTGCGAGGAAAGGATCCCCGGGCGATTTGAATCTGACTGAAATGCCTTCATGCAATAGCCCAGTAGGAATGTCAGTCTGTAGCTCTTGGATGTGGCTGAGGAGAGTGACCGACCGGGCCTCTAGTGTAGTGTCTGGCAGACCTTCACTGCAATGTCCACAGTAGCCTTTCCTCCTCACATGCTGCACCCCGCCCACCCTGCAGCACCTCTGGGAGTCTAGGGAGGAAGAGGACCTTAGATTTGGGACTAGGGGCTTGGACTTCCAGAAGTCTTCAAGACCAGCTAATCCAACACCTTCATTTTCAAGATGGAAACCAAGGCCCAGAGAGGGCAAGGCACTTATCCAAGGTTACAAAGCATGTGAGATCAGTGTTGGGGTTGTAAGTCAGGTGTCCTTTGTCAAAGTTAATGGCTCTTCCAACAACCCTCCTCAGACTTTAGCATAAGCACTAAGAGACTTATTTGGGGATTGTTTTATTCCCAGAGTACCAGAAATGCATAAGGAGCTCTGGTAGCGTAGTGGTTACGACTTGGGCTGTGAACCGCAAGGTCAGCAGTTCGAAACTACCAGCTGCTCCGCGGGAGAAAGATGAGGCTTTCTACTCCCGTAAAGATTTACACCCTCGGAAACCCTGTACAGGGTCGCTATGAGTCGGTTCCGACTCCACGGCACATAACAACAACAACAACAACCAGAAATGCATAAAGTTCTGCTAATAAACTATGATAGCCTCTCATTTGCCCACTAAGAAGCAAGTTAAGAGGTTGGATGATGGAGCCAAATTACCTCTGGTTAAATGCCAGCTCCACTATTTACTTGTTGTGAAACCTCGGGCAAGGAATTGAGTCTCTCTCTGCTGTACTCAGTTTCCTCTCTATAAAGTGGGACTGTTCATAGTACTTTCCTCATGAAGTTGTTTGAGGATTAGGTGAGTTAATATGTGAAAAGGTCTTTGCATGATACCTGGCACAAAGTAAGTTCTATGTGAGTATGAATACAAACATTATTACTAATATGGCACTTTAGAGTTCACGAGCAGTCTTACACTCAGCCCACATGACACTGTATGAGGGAGGCACAGAGGGGATGGGCATCTCTATTCTGTAGGTAGAAAGAGAGGCTTGAGAAGCAAAGTTATTTGCCTAAGGTGACACCAGTGACAGATGGCAGACATGGGACTTTCTCCATTTTTCTATTCTAAGTCCTTCTAATGCTTTCCCTCATCGCACAGTGTCTTGGGGGCCTAGAGGATAGTGAACTAGCAGAAGAGGTCCCCCAGCTCCAGAGGACCCACCTTCATGGGACACGTCTTTTTATCAGGGCTCCGCTGGGCTGCCACCTCAAAGCAGTATGCCACCCGCCTTTCAGGGGGCCAATGGGTAGGTGCCAACTTGTCCATGAAGTCCTCCAGGCTGATGACCCGATGGTAGGCCTGAAGGGGCTCCAGCTTGAAGTACTTCTGGTAGGACACATGGAGCTACAGGAATGGGGACGAGAGGAACAGAGACCCTTTCTCAGTGCCCCAGTGGCTGTTTTAGAGACACATTAAACAAACCAAACACTCCAAGACCCAGACAGATTGCACTACATGATGAGAAATTTTTGGCAAAAGATACTCGAGTTCAGAAAGAAGATATATCAAGTGAAGACATGAACAAACTTAAAAAAAATAAAAAGCAACATCCCTTAAGTTTAAACATGCCTGCTGGGGCTTTCAGAATGTATATACCACCCCCCTCCAAAAAAAAAAACAAAACAAAAAACAAAACAGAGGGAATGGAAGCAAGTACTATTCAATGATGATGCACAAAAGAGATTATATTCATTGCAGTGAAACAATGATGTAAAGCTGATGCTCTCTCAGGTAAACTAGCACCCAGTTCACACACACACACACACACACACACACAGAGCCTGCTGGGGACCGAAAATGACAAAAAAACTTTTAGATATTATCAAACATCTTAAGGTAATGAGTAGCTGAACCTGGGGGCTCAGGACCTTAGTTTCAGAAGACACCATGGTTAGTTGGCATAACATAGTCCACAATGACGTTCTACATCCCACTTTGATAAGCAGTGTCTGGAATTTTAAAAGCTCATGATTGGCCATCTAAGGTGCAGCTCTTGGTCTCTCCGTGTGGGGAAGAAAGAAGAGTGATGAGAATCGAAGGTGCTTGGAATCAATTAGTTCAGTGAATTAATGGAACATGTGAACAGCAGTCTCCATGACTCTGAGACCAGAAGAACTAGGTGAACTAGATGTAGCTCAGCTACCACTACCAACTGCTGTGAAAGGGATTGTAGAAGAAGGTCCCAGATAGAGCAGTATAATGTGTAGAACAAAACTCAAATTTACTGGTCAGAAAGGGACTGGAGAAACCTGGGACTATCGCCCTCAACCACTCTTCAGGTCTGGAAAGGAACACACCTCTTTCAGCCAAGCAGTAGATAGGTATACAGAAGGTAGGCTCACTATGAATGATGGAACGGTCATTCAAAATCAAGGGGCAACATGTGCCTATGGACAATGATGAGAAGGGACGGGAAGGTGGGTGGAAAGAGGAGCCACAGGGAGGAAGCGGATGACTGTTGTTCCACGGAGGGGATTGCATCGAGATGAAACAAAGCGTAGGATTTGTTGAATGTAAAACTGATGATCTTGTCTATAAACCTTCACTCAAGTCACAATAAAAAGTTACAAATAAATAAAATAATGCCTGTTGGTCTATAAGAAAAATGACAAATGATACAAGAGAAAATGTGGACAAAGAAGTGAGCAACTCACAGCAAAGGAAAACCCCCAAAATCCCGGAAACTATTGTTTTTGGGTAATCTTTAAACCTTACACACCAAAAACATTACCCAAATAGTTCAGCTTCACTAGTAAAAATGTCGTCTGCCTTGAGCATTTTGCCCTTTTAAGTTTTCGATCTCTTTGGGATCAAAGTGAAACAGCAACTGAAAAGATTCGACAGGAACCTTAGAGGGCAGTGACTTTATGGTAAAGAGGGAAGAGCAACACAGGAAAGAATGGAATCAATGTCACCGAATTGTATATGTAGAAAGAATTAAACTGGTATATGCTTTGCTATATATATTCTCAAAAACAGTATGTTAGAACTATAGAAAACGAAATAGTCAATATATTCACATGGCGTGCAACCTACAAATATATAAAAGTTTGACAGAGAATATTTGTAATGGGTATTAATCTTTGCTGCAAACATATCCAAGAATGTGGTATATGTTATTTCTATTGTTAAGACCTATGGAGTTGATTTCAACTCATAGTGACCCTGTGTAGGGTTTCTAGGGCTTTTAAATCTTTTCCTGGAGCAGAAAGCCTCATCTTTCTCCCTCTGAGTGGCTGGTGGGCTCAAACCACCAACATTGTGCTTGTTTTATGGTGGAGCATACAGGGGGGAAATTATGAAAACTTGTTAAATGTTACCAAACACATTGAAAGAATGAGTTGCTGGGCCTAGGGGCTCAGGACCATCATTTTGGGGAAGACCATATTCAACTGGCATAACATAGTCCAATGTTCTAGAGCCTGCTTTTATGAGTAGTGCCTGGGATCTTCAAAGCTCATGAGCAGCCATCTTAGGTAGTTATTGGTCTCTCTCTTTGTGGAGGAAAGAAGAGTGATAAAAATTGAAGATGCTTGGAATTAATTATTCCAATGGACTAACAGAGCATGTGAACATCTGTCTCCACAACCCTGAGACCAGAGGAACTAGATGATCCCCAGCTACCACTACCAACTGATCTGAAAGGAATCACATTAGAAGATCCTGGATACAGTGGGAGAAAATGTAGAACAAACCTCAAAATTATATTTAAAAAAAAAAAAGATGAGGCTAACTGGTCAGAAAGAGACTGGAGGAATCTGAGGCTCTGGCTCACAGTTACCCTTCAGGTCTGGAACTGAACTCACACTCACGGCTCAATATTCAGCCAGGTGGTAGCTAGGTCTATAGGGGGTGATCACAACAGTAATCATGGAATGATCAACCATTCAAGACTGAAAGGGCAACATTTACTTAAGAACCAAGTTCAGGAGGGTTAGGAAAGAAGGTGAGATGGAAACAAGAATCACAGGGAGGAAGTGGGATCATTGATGTTACATGGAGGGTGGATTGCATTTGTTGACATTCACTCAATTCACACTAAAAAAAAAAAAAAAAAAAAGTGCAACTTCACTAGGAATTAGGAAAAAGAAAGTTATAGTTATAACAAGCTATCACTTCTCACCCATGAGACCAAAAAAATTTTAAAAGGTTAGCTCCGATTGTTGGAAAGTAAGTGGGGAGACAAGCTCTCCTATATGGCAAGTATATTTTGGAACAGCCACTTTGAATTGCAATCTGACAAAATTAAAGAGCCTCTTCCGCTCCTAGGTATTTTCCCTAGAGAAGTTCTTACACTTGGCACCAAGAGATGGGTACAAGAATGCTTAGTGCCATTATGGACATACAGGAAATAATGTGGAAGGAAACGTGATAGTGACTGTCTCAGGGAGGAGGGGAGATGAGAAAGAAAGGAGCTAGGATTAGCAAGAGAGACTATCTTTTATCAACTCGATCTGTAATGGTTTCTTTTATTCATAAAAAACATGAAGCAAAAGGCTAAAGTGATAACATCTAGTGGTGGGCAGAAGAGGGTGGCTGAATCAATCCTAGAATTTCTCTAGATTTAAATTTTTTTCTTAGAACACCATGGGATAAAATGTGGACTGTATCTTATAGGTCAGTATTCCCCAAGACGGGTCCACTAGCACAGGTGGATAAAGGTGCTGTGATAAATGGCTCCAGTCTGAGAGGACTGGGAAAATCTGTGCTGAGTTTTTTTGCAGCAGGGCATGTCAAGGTTTTTATATGCTAGTGTGTACCCAGATCTATACATTTGAGGGGTGGGGTGGGATGGGAAATTGAGAATTCAATTTCCCAAAATTATTTAGTAACTGCCACCCTTTCAGAATGAGCTCCTGGTGTTCCAATGAACAGGCTTTGGGAACCTTAACTATTAGCAATGAGGCATTCCAAAGGCTTTTCAGCAGAAATAATACATGAGTTTTGCCTGTCTGAAAGATCACTCTGGTGGCCGAGGGAAGGATGTAGTAATGGTAAGATTAGAGGCGGGGAGAGGAATTAGGAGGCTGTGGTCCTTTTATGTGCTTATGTCTTCTTGCAGCATGTGTTCACTGAGCACCTTCTATGTGCCCAAGTAAGAGATGGAGAAGCATGGACAGACGAAAGGTGTAAATGAAGGTGAAGCAGAGGGTTTGGGGTCTGAGTGTTTACATAGAGGGAAGCACTAGGATGCCCCCAGGTTCCTAGCTTGTTACTCAAATTAGTGGAGGTGACATCGAGGCTGGGAATACAGAAAGTGATACAGGTTTAAGGGGCAAGATGCTGTGTTCAGTTCTGGCTTTGTGAATCTGAGACATGTGTGCAACATCTATGTTGACAATGGTCTGAGTTAGAAACCCAGGCAGGTGGTCAGAGGATGAACCTGAACCACAGAAATCTGGGAGGTACATGATGAAAGTCACAGTCAACAGAAATTGAGAGTGGAGTAAATATGGTGATAATGTTGTTGTTGTTGAGGGCTATCGATTCAGTTCTGACTCATAGTGACCCCGTATAGGGGTTTCTGAGGAGCAGCTGGTGATCTTGAGCTGCTGACCTTGCAGTCCAGCACATTAACCCGCAGCGCCACACATAGCCACTAATATGTACTGAGTACTGCCTCGCTGCCAGGCATGATACTCATCACTTTCCGCAGATTCACTCACTTAATTCTGAGTGGTAGGAACATCATTTTCAGATGACTCATGTAAAAACCAAGGCAAACAGAATCGCGGTAATTCACTGGAGATCACACAGCTAAAAAGATCACACACCTACATTTAGACAGGAGCTGGAGAGAAGCCACCAATATAGCAGAAAGAGGAAAATGCGGAGAAACTTCAATGTCATTAAGTCCACTCCAACTCATGATGACCCATGCGTGTCAGAGATGGAATTTTGGGGAGGAGATAGCCTGGTCTTCCTTCTGAGGCACCCCTGGATGGACTAGAATTTCCAATCTGTGAATTAGCAGTGGAGCATGTGAACTGCTTGCACTACCCAGGGACTCCAAGCTGCTGAGAGGTCAAGGCTAAAGTAAGAGCAAGGGGTGTCTTGAGAGCCAGGGGAGGAATGACCTTCAGGAAGAAAAGAGGCTTGAGGGGCCAAATGACCCTAGGAGTTCAGGTGAGATAAAAACTGAAAAATGACCCCTGGGTTTGGCAAGTTCAAGGTCTCTAGTGACCTTACTGAGAACAGCCACAGTGGGGAAGGGGGTACTTTATCAGGGCAAGTTGAGTACCTTGTAGAAAGCAAGGAAGTAGAGACTCAGAAAGAATCTTGACTGAGAAGGCAAAGCAGGGAAACAGCAAGCAAGCCCGGAGGAGACAGACTGGCAATGTTTAAAATCTAATGGTAAAAAACCAGACCACCACCACTGCACTCCATTATTTCCTATGTAGGCATTTTGCACTGATGTGCTCATTTGATTCTGAGAGTGACAGACAAGTTCAAAGCAAGTTTCAATTACTAACTCATTCAATCCTCTTCCTGGAAGGAAGCAACAAAGGTTACCAGTCTATTTCAAAGATGAGGAAACTAAGGCACAGAGAGGTCAAATATTCTGCCCAGGTCACACAGCTGATAAGTGGCCAAGCCAGACTGTGTTCTCAGATACTCTTAACCTCTGTTAATAACTTCTCTCTCTAAATGTAGGCATGCCAAAACAAAAATAAAGCCTAGGCAGAGATAATGGCTCTAAGGATGAAATTCAGTGTTTTGAACAGAAACCCTCTGCCATCGAGTTTATTCCAATTGGCAGTGACACTACAGGACATAGCAGAACTGCCCCCGAAGATTTCCAGGTCTGTCATCTTTACAGAAGCAGACTGCCACATCTTTCCCTGTGTAACAGCTAGTGGTCTGAAAGGCAAACTACCAGGGCTCCTTGTTTTAAACATAGCAGTTTTTGAAGCCTATTGAAATCTGTGCATATTCCAAAGAGAGATGACCCAACAGAATGCAGAAATTATTGGACAGTATCATTAATATGCCATACAAGTAAAATTTTGCTGAAGAGAATTGAAAAATCACTGCAATAGTACATTGACAGAAACTTTCAGAGGTCCAAATAGATTCAGAAGAGGACATGGAATGAAGGATATCATTGCTGATGTCCGATGGATCTCGGCTGAAAGCAGAACTATGTTTACTTGCGCTTTAATGACTGCGCAAAGGCCTTCGACGGTGTGGATCATGACAAACTATGGACAACATGGCGGAGAATGAGTATTCCGGAACACTTAATTGTGCTCATGAGGAATCTGTAAGTAAACGAAAAGGCAGTTCTTCAAACTGGGGAACACTAAATGGCTTTAAGTACAAGGGAACACTAAATGGCTTTAAGTTAGGAAAGGTATGCGTCAGGGTTGTATTCTTTCACCATACTTATTCAATCTGTATGCTGAGTACATGACCCAAGAAATAGCATTGTATAAAGAAGAACGTGGCATCAGGATTGGAGGAAGACTCATTAACAACCTGTGATATGAAGATGATACAACCTCGTTTGCTGAAAGAGAAGAGGATTTGGATTTCTTACTGATGAAGATCATAGACCACAGCCTTCGGTTTGGGTTGTACCTCAATGTAAAGAAAACAAAAATCCTCCCCATTGGACCAATAAACAACATTTATATAAATGAAGAAAATACTGAAGCTGTCAAAGACTTCATTTTGCTCAGATCAACCATCAACACTCACAGAAGCAGCAGTCAAAAAATCAAATGACATACTGCATTAGGCAAATCTGCTGCACAAGACCTCTTTGAAGTATTTAAGAGCAAAGACGTCAGTTTGAGGGTTAAGGTGGGCCTGACCCAAGCCATGGTATTTTCAATAACCTCATACGCATGTGAAAGTTAGATGTGAATAAGGAAGACTAGAAGAAAGAATGCATTTGAGTTATGGTGTTGGAGGAGAATATTCAAAGTACCATGGACTACCAGAAGAACAAACCAATCTGTGTTGGAAAAGTACAACCAGAATGCTCCTTGGAAGCCAGGATGGCCAGACTTTGTCTCTCATACTTCCGACATATGAGTAGGAGGGTGAAGTGGAGGATCGGAGAAAGAGAGAAAGACCTTCAACAAGATGGACCGGCACAGAGGCAACAGACACAACAATGATTGTGAGGCTGGCACAGGACCGGGTAGTGTTTCGTTTGGTTGTGCAAAAGGTTGCTATGAGCCACTACCGACTCGATGGCACCAAACAACAATTGAAAATTTTTAAGTCAATGTATTAAATACTAATTCAGTGCCTACCAGGTACCAGGTCTCTGGGGTACAATGTGAGTGGAGGACACAAAGAATAAACAAGAATTACAGTGAACATAATTTAAGACACAGAATAGCAGGGAGCCCCCAGCGAGAGGTATTAACTTGGGCTGTTCTCATGAAGAGGAATCTAATGGTCATTTGCTAGACTAGTAAGAAAGAGTTAATGCGATACAAACGGCAGGGAAGGGGAGAAGGCATTCTAGGCACAGGAACCAGCACATACAAAGACCATGTTTTCTAGCAACTCAAGAATATACAGAGAGGGTGAATGTGGCAAGACAAGTGCTTACCTTGCCCCAGGCATTTGTCCAAGTCTTTTATATATGTTATTTTGGGTAAAGCTTTCTCAAAAACCCTAGGAGTTTTACAGATGAGAAACTTACAGTTCCAAGAAATGAGGTAACTTGCCCAACAACCTGTGAATGGGTAAGCTGGAATTTAAACCCATGTCTATCTGACTCCAGAGGCAGCCACCTAAACCTGAAGCCTCCATTTCCTGCCTTGGTTGTTCTCATTCTCTGTGCAGTCTATTAGTCAGAGGGGGATGGGGTGAGGTGGCGCTGAAGTCAGATTGCCTGGGTTTGTGGCCTTGGGCATGTTAACTAACTTGTGCCTCAGTTTCTCCTTCAAAGTATCCTTCAAATAGTATCCTTGCCTCATAGGGATGTGGTAATGGGGGAAATAAGTTAACCCTCCTACAGTGCACTTAGAGACGCTGGATGTTAACTACTGCTACGGAAAGGAACTCATTTCAGGGTGGGGGTGGGGCAAGCCCAAGGGAGTGAGAGTAAAACCAGAGAGAAAGACTTGGGGGTGGGGGTGGGGGTCACTCAATGCAAAGGTGGAGAGGGCTGAAGTCAGTGGGTGGTACTCACATTGGTGAAGGGAGGCTTGTGATGTTGGTACTCAATCCAGGGGGGAACAGCCAGAGTGCGGTTCAGCAGTTTGGCAAATGCCAGAGAGCCCAAGAAGTGATCGGCCTGGTTCCCAAAGCGCCCTGGGAATGGGATACTGGTGAGGTAAGGCCTGGGGCACTGAGGATACAAAGCTAAGACTGGGGAAGACCACAAAATCAAGGATGGCCAGGGGAGCTGGAAGCATGGGGTCAAGTCTGGACTCTTGTGTCTGATAGTCAAGGCCCTTCAGACCCTGCTCCTCCGGCCTCAGTCACTCCAGGTTCCTTGCTGTTTCTCAAACATGCTCTCCACTTCCCGCCCCCCATCCCATGTCTTTGTTCTTGCTGCTCCCTCAGCTAGGACATTCCTTCCAGCTAGGATCTCCCCCTACCTGCAAATGAAAGGGCAACTCTTGTGTCTCATTCATTGGGAACCTTACCACAATCCCCTTGGATTTGAGTTACTTATGGATCTTGACTTTTCCTGGAATGTGCTTATCCACTTCCTGGTTTTGTGCTGGCTGTTTCCTTGCCTGTGAATGCCTCAGTGTGGCATATATTCAGTCATTCCACAAATATTCTTGCAAGCCACAATGTGCCAGGCTCTGGACTAGGTGCTGGCTGCAGCAGTGAGGAAGAAGTGCCAGGTCTTTGCTTTCATGGCACTCAGCGTCTAGCTGGGCAGACATTAAACATATCAACAAATAGGTATGTAGTGAAGAGTTTTGGCATTTGCTTGAAAGAAGTGGAGATTAGGAGGCAGTTACATAGGTCGAGGTCAGTGAATCCTTTCTGGTGACATTTGAGATCTGAAGAATGGGAAGGAGTTCGTTAGGCAGAGGTGAAGGAAAAGAAATAGTCATGTGAATGCTGAAGACCTGAGACTAAAGAATAGAAAGAAGATCTGTGTGGCTACAGCTAGGGGAGCAAGAAAAGCAGCCAAGGTGCAGATGACCGGCCAGAACCTTGACAGTCACGGTCAGGAGTCTGAAAGTCATTGGAGGGCTTTAAGAAGGAATGACAGGAGCAGTGGGGTTTCAGTGGTAGAAATCTAAAGGAAATCTGGGTTTGTTGGGGGGTGGTTTGGCACTACAGGATAAGCACTGGACTATTAATCACAAGGTCGCTATGAGTTGGAATCAACTCCATAGCACTTAACAACATGTTACTGAACAGGTTTCAGCAGACCGGACAGACTAGGAAGAAAGGCCTGGCAATCTACTTCCAAAAATCAGTCCATGAAAACCTTATGAATCACAATAGTCTGATCCATACCAGATTAGGAGGATGGTGCAGGTTCAGGCAAGGGGTCACCATAACTTTTACAATGATGACCTATCACTTCATTTGATTTATAGCCCTCTACCAGCTGCTCTTTGGAAACCCTGTGCAGGGTTGCTATGGGTTGGCACCGACTCCACGGCACTTCACAACAACAACCAGCCCATAGGAATCCTGGTGGGGCACTGTGGGATAATGTGCTGGATTACAAGGTCAGTTTGAATCACAAGGTCGGTGGTTCAAGCTTACCAGCTGCTCCTTGGAAACTCTATACAGGGTAGCTGTGTGTTAGAACCGACTTGATGGCATTTAACAACAACATAAGGAGCTCTGGTAGCATAGTGGTTACGAATCGGGCTGCCAACCGCGAGGTCAGCAGTTCGAAACTACCAGCTGTTCCGTGGGAGAAAGATGAGGCTTTCTGCTCCCGTAAAGATTTACAGCCTCGGAAACCCTGTTACAGGGTCACTATGAGTCAGAACTGACTTAACAGCACTTAACAAATACTATGAGGGAGAGTAGTGGCTTTGTAGGATAAGCAATGGACTATGAACCACAAGTTTTATGGTTCAAGCCTACCAACCTCTCTGCAGGAGAAAGATGATGTTTTCTGCTCCTGCAAAGTTGGAAGCAACTTGAAGGCAATTAACAAGATACTATGAAGGAGCTGTGGAGGTACAGTGGGGTAAAGATTGGGCTACTAACTGTAAAGTGGATCTTTAAAAATCACCAGCTACTCCACAGAAAGATGAGGCTGTCTGCCCCCTTCCCTGAAACACTAGGGAGTAGTTCTCTTTTGTCCCATAGAGTCGTTCTGAGTCAGAATCGACTTCATGGCAAAGGGACGATACTATGTAATTTGCTTATTTATCTTTTACTGTCTGTCTCCCTCCAAGTAAAATGAAAGGTCTATCTGGGCAGGGAATTTTGCTATTTTATTCATCACAGAATCCGCAGCCCAGAGAACGTAGTTGTTCTTGTTAAGTGCCGACTGACTCATAGAGATTCTGTATAGGGTTTACGAGCAGCTGGTGGATTTGAACTGTCAACCTTGCCGTTCAAACCGACCCTGTGGTCCAGTGCATTGTCCTGCATCGCCAGACACCCTGTAAATATTTGTTGAATGAATGGAAGAACTCCCAGTGCCAGCGTGGTTCAGTGACATCAAGTTCTGCTTCACTAACTCCATTTACTAGACTCAGGGCTAGTTTATATCATAGCTCCGCCCATCACTAACCGCAAGATCTCGCGCAAGACAGGTAACTGCTCTTGGCCTCAGTTTTCTCATCTGTCAAATGGACGACTGGACACAATGACCCCTTCTCCCCACCTCAGTCCCCTGGCAGTTGGGGACGAGAAGAGGAGTCGGTCTTGCACCTGCGCTTGGGTTCACTCCTGGACCTGTTAATGCGTCACAGGACGCCTCGGTAAAGTGGCTTGTCCTTGCCTGGCCTCAGTTTCCTCAGAGGGCTCGGGAGGCCTTACCCATGCAGGGGCAGTAGAGCAGGTAACCCGCTGGATCCCAGGAGCCCGAGGGCAGCCCAGGGAGCAGCAAAAACAGCATCAGGAGGGACAGGCGCGCCGGCAGAGGTATCGGTGCCCACGCGGCGGCGCCCATATCCGCTGCGAAGCCCGAGCGCGCCACGACGTGGAGGCGGGGAGGGAAAGATAAACGCGAGCTGCCGCCCCGCTCCCGGCGGTCCCCGCGCGCCGCCCGCTCACCGTCCCGGCCGCTCTAGCCCGCAGGCGGGCGGGGCCATAGAGAACCCGCGGCACCGCCCCCTCCACGGCCCGAGCGCCCGCTCGCGCGGCTCCCACAATGCACCGCACAATGGCCCGACCGCCGCCACTACCGGGGCCTGAGCGGGCCTGGCGGAGCCGGAGCGCGGCCCGGCCCGCAGCGCGGGGCCCCGAGCGCGGTGAGTGCCGGCGAGGGCCCCAGGGGACGGCGGGGAGCGGGGCGGAGGGCCGTCTCGTTGCGCCCGCGCGCCCGGCACCCGGAGCGGCGGCGCCCCTCATTTCGGGGCCCCAGCGCGGTCTCTCCTATCCCCAACTGGGCCCCTCTGCGTAAACCCGGGCCCAGATAAGCCCCGGGGTGACAAAAACTACTCCTGAACCTGATACCGAGGTCTGAGTGACCCGAATAAGCCCTACTGGCCTCCTCCCTCCAGAGACCTGGAGACACAGCTTCGGGGGTCCCCCACTCCCGACCCCCCAGGCTACCTGGAGACCCAGATAATGCGCTGCTGACCTCCCCAGGGACCCGGGTCTGGGGGACGCAGATAAGCTGCACCTGCTCCCCTCCCCTTGGACACGCCTACTCAGACCCACATAGCCCCCTTTTTTCTTCTCCAAATAGCCCCCTCTTTGCCCTCTGTTTTATTTTCCAGACCTGCTTAACCCCTTTCGAGACTTCCCTCAAATACTTGGGTGTGGAGAACCTGTAGTTGCCTCCCCAGTGGCCATACGGCCAAACCTGAGACAGCTTCCATCCGGACACGTATTTTTGAGACTCTCTTGAAATTCAGAGAATTCATTTCTTAATATTCTGAGCCCCTGGAGTCCTTCAGTCCTATGGTCCTCCTGTCTTTTTTGGGGGGTCCCTTAAAGACCTGGGTAGCTTGCTCATGATTCCTTGCCATACTTGCCCTATCCTTTACCATTTTTGAGATTCTCCCGTGATGCTTTACCGAATTTCCATCCCTTCTCTGGCTCCCATTCACTTCCATTCCTCCCAGTCCGGGGTCATTTGGCTTTTCCCACCACACAGTGGGGTGGTCCAGAAACTGGCTTGGGAGCCAGGCTGTGGCCCCAGTTTGGCAGGGAAGAGGGGACAACTGCGTAGGGGGAGTTGTTGGCGCTTTCACCTGCAGGAGTTAGCTGGCTCCTGACTTGGGTGTTATCCACCTGTCATCCTAGGCCTGATAGAGTCTGAGCTGGCCTTAAGTTTCTAACGCAGCCCCCCTCCACCCAAAATGGGACCACTAGGTGGAATATGGGTGTGGGGCTGTCTAATCAGGGGTCCTTCCCCTAAACGTGGGGCTGTGGTAAGTAGCAGTCATTTGCTCCAGGCCTCCCCAGGAGTGGAATCAGAGGCAGTAGTGAATTACAGGGAGCCGATCAACACTGGCAGAACTATCCGCCCGCCCAAGAGTAAATCCAACCCCTGTTAATCCTGTTTGATGTCTCTTGGAATGATGCAAGTCATTGAGACTCTCCAGCCTCCTTGTAATTTAATTCTCCCACCACTCTGGAGTGAGAGAGAGAGAGATTCCCTTTTCCCTTTCCTTCACACTGTTTTCCAGCCAACAAGTGTGTTTCTGGTGATCAGGTCTGGACTTGTTGTTGTTGTTATTTTCTTTTTCTAAGTCTATTTATAAATTTCCTAGTTGCTATTTTGGGTTCCGCTTGAGGGAAGGTTCTGTCCACACTAAAGAACGTTCCTGGGTGTGTTTTCTCCTCAGCAGGTGTTGAATTGAGTTCTTCAGATCCCCAAGTAGCTCTTGGGCAGGAGGGATAAAGGCTATTTTAGGGGAGTCACTGAAGTGGAGCTGTTAATCCTCTGTGGGTCTCTCTGGTTAAGCACACTCTGAGATTAACCCTTTTCTTGCTGCCAAGATGAGCAACAGTTTGAGGGTAGGGAGAAGCAGGCTGAGGTTAGGTGAATTCAAGTGAAGCGGAAGGTGGGAACATGCCACTCAATACCAAGGCAAAGATAATAGCTCCCTTTTGTTGGGCACTTACAGCAGGCCTGGGTGCTGAGCCCTTTGCATACCTGACCAAAATAATCCTCACAACAAGCCTGTGAGGTAAGTATTTTTAGGTTTACAGATGAGGAAACAGCCTAATAATGGAGAAAGAACGTAGTTTCTATAGAGATGATGTAACACCATAAAAACTAGTTTCACCAGAGGTTAGCAGGCAGCATGGCACACAACAGAAGACAGACTGGGAAGCAATTTGTCACCATTTCAGCTTCCAGAGAGGACCATTCACAGTCTTTAACAGACATTCCTAATTTGGGAATGAAGCCTCAATAATAAAAGAGGTTCCTAAAGTTAGCATATGAGCGAACTCTGGCCTAAGAGATGATTCTGGAGAAAGATAAACTAAGGGCACCGGGGCTGGCTAAAGGGGATGTGCTGAGCATTTGTTCTGAGGGAAAAAGGGAAGGCTGCATTCTGGGGAGATGTTGGGAAGAGAAGGGGAAGGAAAGGAAGGAAATGTACTCTGAGGCCTGAGAAATCACATGAAAGGAGAGGAGAAAAGTACACCAGTCCTACTTAGGCCCCATGCAAAAAACAGGCAGATGTAATTTAGGCCTCATAGTGTGTACTCAGCACACATTTGATACCAGACATGTTGAAGAGTTGTTTAATTTGCCGCAGAAATCTTATAGGAAAGAAGAAAAAGTATCTTAGAAATTGGGGAAACTGAGATTTTGAGAAATAAAGCCCACAGTTTCATGGTCAGTAAGTGAAAGCTTTTCTGATAGCAAGTCCAAGGTTCTTTTCCCTGCTGCCTCTTTCTTCAGATCAGGTGCCAGAAGGAATGTTAGACTGAAAATAGACTGAGTTATACCAGTAACTGGGAGGGATTGTGTTTGTTTTATGAGAACAGGTTCTGTCAGCTTCTCTATAGTTGTTAAGGTTAGAGACCAGAAGAGCAGCTTTGAAAGAGAAGCAGAATTCTTTCACAGTTTTGTCAAGGAAAGAGAAGTCTGAAGGCACCGGCCTTCTGATTATGTGAGACCTAGTTCAGAGGAGTTTGCAGACAAAGGGAGAGAGACGAGACCCCTCCAAAGGGGTCCCAAGGTAACACTAGTAGCTTTGGTTTTCCAACAGGCTAATAATAACAGTAGGTAAGGACTTCACTGTGCCTTTTAAAAAGCTGAGGGGAGTAGGATGAAGCTGGACGCTGTTTACTTTTTTAGACACAGCCCATTAAAGGCAGATGTAGGCGAGCACATGGCTGCTGCCTCCTCCTTTGCGTCTCTGTATCAGTACAACCTCGTGAGTTGGCCTGAGCCACCACAGGCCTCTTTCCTAGAAGCCCATTACTCACTCTTTCAGTAACAGCATATAAGCTGCTGTGTCTTGTTTGTGCTTGTACGGGAGAAGAGATGAGGTGGACGAGTGGGAGGTGGGGGACGTACCGTTTTCTTTCTGACTTTGTGTGGAGTTTCCAGGCCTTATGCATCCCTTTCACATCAGCCAGACTGGTGTGACTTGCTCCTCTTCCCTCGGGTTGCTATTTTCCACTTCCCAGAGGCTGAGGTCCATGATTTCAGAGGTCAAGGGGGACCACAATTTGACTTCAGATGTGAAGGAGAACTGCCCCCCGACATAGACGTGCACACTTGTGCTCACTCTCGACTCCATTCCAAGGTATATAGTAATCATTGGTATTATAAACGGGTAATTCCACTCTTGAAAAGGAGGAGGGAGCTTAAACAATGAAAGCCAGACATCAGAGGCCTTTGAGGTTTATAGTGAAGCAGGCAAATATGCCAAGATGACTCGAAGGCTCAAGTGGGACTTGTTTTAAGTGCTACCTGTTCCTCCCCAGCACGTGACTCATGCAAAATGCAGCCACCTTTATGCAGCTCTATCTGGGCAAATCTCCACTTTGATTGGGAAATGTTTATCACATTACACTGTAGTGTTTCTTCAACAAGAGGAATGGTTTCTGAATAGGACTTGTTGTTGTTGTTAAGTGCCGTCGAACTGATTCCGACCTATAGCGACCCTGTGTAGGGTTTCCAAGGAGCACCTGGTGAGCTTGAACCACCGACCTTGCTAGTTCATGTTAATAATGAGCAAAGCACTCTGGGTCATAAACCCACGGGTCCCATCATCTTGTTCATGGCCAGTCTGTTGGATGAAATGGTCACTGTGAGCAGCAGTTACTAATGAGCTGAGCAAGCATTTCCTGACCCTCACCTAGCTAGTTTGGGTAGTTGGAGCTGCCCCTTTCACATAGAAAGGCCTCAGGATCACATTTTGGCACGACTTATTTAAAGGGAACCCCCATGCTATAGCAGCTTGTATTTGTGGTTGGTAATCTTTGGTGAGTTTGTGAGTATGAGATTTGGTTTGTTGTCCCCTTTTGAACATCAATACTGCAATTCATCCTTTCTACCTGAGTTGGGACCAGGAAAGGAGTTGTGTTCAAGCCCAGTAAGAAAAAAGCTTAGAATTCAGGATTTGGGTTCCCCACTTTGGAAGAACTGTGAACCCAGTTTAAGCCAAATCTTCCTGGGCATAAGTTAGCTCCTGAGAATTAACCTAAGTGCATTGACTAACTAATTTGCTCTTCTAAGAAAATGTTGAGTTTCATTGTTTAGGCAAATGCAGATGAAAGAGAGATGAGCTGAGCCCTCAACTAATCAGTCAGACAAAGGAGGTTAAATAATTGTAATGCAAGTGTGTTGCCTGTTCATAATGAAGAATGGACAGATGCTGTGATGATCCAGGGAAAGGTTTTGCTTAGGAGGCATGGTCTGGGCCCTGGCATGAAGTCGGGTGGCAGAGGTCGGGGTGGGACCAACACCCATTGAGGGCAAATGCAGAGTCTGCCATTACCACCTCAGACAGAACCTCCTAATGTTAATGTGCTGCTAAGAAACACATTCAGACCCAGTTGCTAAGGCAGGGGCTGACT